AGAAAGGGAGAGTGGCGAGCGAGAATTTGAAGGGAGAGAGGCGACTGGCAAACGTTTGCTACGGGGCGCAACTAAATCAAATAGTAGCTACTCCATTTATTTTAGATTATAAGTTTGTCATTCTGTACAATAATTTTAAAATTACAAGTGCTTACTAGATACAGATTTAAAGACCTAAGAGTTGACTGGAGAAGCCAGCAAATATGTAACAACGGAGCAACTCTTCAAAAGAGCAGCTCAAGAGAATTAGAATGAGGATAGTTATTGGTTTTGTACTTGGAACAGTTGAGCCAGTAATGTTGATCAAGAATATAATGTAATTTTGTAAGAAAATGGACCATAATAGCTTACCTGCCAATTTCCATGGACTGACAAATTGTTCTTGAAATCATCTTGGCATACCAACTCACCTGCAAAAAACTTGGTTAAAGCCCTAGTTCATTTCTCAAAATGATCTGGAAAAGTTCTAAAGTGATTCAGTACCATTTGAACAATGCTGAGAAAGTGGTTCCTGAGATCCCAAATCAATGGTTCTTTGAGGACCAGATGCAAAATTACCAAGATCACACTTTCCAGCTCCATCTATACCAGGAAGTGGTGTATACTCCACTGCGATAATAGTTACAATTTTTTAGGCATAAAATCAACAATAAAGAATCTGAAACGGTCTTAAGAAACCATAGCAATGGAAAAATGCAATAACATTGCATAGAATCTTAGTAAAGGCACCTGAAGATTGAGGTGAACCATATGAACTACTGATGGTATCCCTATTCTCCACCAGATGACTGTCCATTCCAGATGCTCGGTCTGGATATGAATGAAATCTAGAACACGCTTGGTGACTATCTTCTGCATTAAATTGATTTCAGTATGAGAACTTTAACGACAGCTTTAGCACTCGGCACAAACAACTACGTAAATCAAGTATAGTAAAAAAATTCAACAACACAGCTGAAGAAACCACATTAAAACCAACTGCAAAGAACATTACCTGATTCAGCTTCTTCATGTGCTTCTGTTAAAGTGCTTGCTAGACTTGTTGAATCAGTATTTGCTGAAGCTAGTTTCTTGTGTCTCGTAAGAAAACAATCGGACAATGAGCAGTCATTCAGATAGTTTGGGTGAGCTGATTTAGTGCTTCTGATGCTACTGACGTTCACCTTGTTACCCTGTCAAGGAGAAATAACAAAGAATAATAATAGTAATAATAAACATAATAAGAAGAATGCAGAAGATCATGCACAAACTGCACTTTCACATCTAACTTTGAGAAAGTAATTTGATTTGATCCCTCGTGAGCATGTAACAAATAACCAAACTGATTCACGACCTAATAAGGAAAGAAAATGGTAGAGTCTAACCTTGACTTCCAAATAGTGGACAAAAACTATGTGCGTGAGATCCCTGCACCATATCAAGTGAGAAGAACTTTTAGAGCAGAGGTGGTTAGAGATGAAAAACACACAGAAGGAAAATAAACAAGAATGTTCAAATAGTTTAATCCATAAATTAATCTACATCTTTTTGTAGGACTAGTAGACAGAATGAGTAATATGCTCATCATAAACTCTTATATAATCACTTAAATTACTATACTCATATGAAATAGACAGAGTACTTTTACTCTAATCTACTTTTGCTTAATACCACTTGTATGAAGGTATTTTAACCAATCGATAAGTACTATTGTTTCTTATTTTGAGCTTCTAGTTTTGTCATGAGAAGTAAATTGACACAAAAGTAAAGACGAGGTCCAAAAGAAATGCAAAATAAATAAGGAGGAGCTTCCACAATGATGCCACACTATATGGTCCATACTCACTGTTCAAGCATCCAATAACTACGCCTTTGAAAATTATCATCTTCTTCTCCATGGGCATAGTAGCAGTGTAGCACATCAATACTTCCAACCTGCAGAAGGATTTTACAACAAAAAGGATGAAGCATATGAAAAAGTTCATTAGCTTAAGCTCACAAAAACTAGACTCTTCAAGCCAAGCTAAGTAAATGGTACACTTACGCCAAACTATCAACACCTACCTTCAGCTTCTCATGAGCTTCTTTCACTGTCTTCCCATCCTTCTTCTTCCTCCAATTATGCCCATCCTTCCTAAAGTATCTTAGTACCTTCCTATCGAAAAGAAAAACAGAGCCACCTGAAGAGCAAAAAACACATTAAGAACAAACATCTAAACATGAATAGAGGGAAAATCAAATTATTAGCTTTTCCTTTTTAGGGAATAAAAGTATCTGCAACAGACTGCTCCAATCATCAACAGTCAATTCAGGTCTCTAGTCTCACAGGGTGGATAATGTATATTCTTCCAGTCACTTCCAAACAAAATCTACATGGTATATGGAAATAATCTCAGGTGATCTTCTAGTTCCTTACTTAGATGAGAGTTTTGCAGGACAACGTAGGACCATAGAAAAATCATTTACAAAGAGCAAACAATCAGGGTCTCAAGGAGCGAGCTGAAAACTAATAAAATGTAAAGACAATATTATTAGATCGAGAAGCAGCATGCTAGTAAATGAAATCATTTCATTTACAACTACTATAAAAGAAACTTATTCAGTCCTCATACAGAAGGAAATTGCTGCTTTGTCTAAACTCAAATACCCTATAATTTAGCTTAAATAGAGACTGTAAGTCTTACAACTAGAATACTCAATAGATGCTATGGCATACATGCAAAAACTTTACAAACTCCATCAAAACCAAGGATCCAGAAAGTTTTCTTTTGTAGAGTGTCTGTTAGGATATGCTAAGTGGCATAGCTTCTCTAAAGTAAAAAAAATATAAAAAGTTTCAAAAATAGATGGATAAAATGAAGAAGACATACTGACTGGTCTGAATGGAGCCTCTGGGGTTAAATGGAACTTTCTGTGGTTCCGCAGAATTTCACAAATCTCAGCGGGTCTCAGCCAACGATGCTGCACTTCTGATAATATCTGTGTTATGTCTGCAACTCAAAATCAACAAATAAACATATTATGTTTTCAAAGATGCAATCGTTAAACTTCGGAAAGAAGTTTTATAGCAAGTCAGGCAACATAATAAACCTCAGTGAAGCACCTTTAATTCAAAACATTCAAATGTAAAATCAGACAAGCCTATGGACCAACATTTGAAACGGTCTTGCCAATGCCTTATACATTGTATATGCTTAATAATTGTTAGTCTGTTTTTTGAAAAAAAAGACCATGCAAAAGAGACTCCGGCCTCTAGTACACTAAAGGAAAACAACATGAATGAACAAATCAAGACAAAATACTAACAAGGTATTACAAAGCATACTGAAAAAGGAAACATAACTACAATAAAAAATGTTTCTCTTGTGCGTAATTATGTGGGTAATTATCTTGCATATTTATGGAACCATTGGCAATTAGATTAAAACATTCTAGTTGGTTCCACTATGGCAAGAGTATTTTGCGAAAGGTTAACAATTAGCTAGTGTAATCTTCACTTAAAGTTCTTGTTTGGAACAGTAGACTTACTCTATAACTCTTATCAAAAGAAAGAACATCTTAAATTGAAGACAAATATATATAAGAAGAATTATGCCTCTTTTAAATAACTTTCCCTTATTTACCCTCAAGTAGTGCGTATCGACTTCTACATGTTTTTGCCCTTATTATGCATATTTCTTTTTCTTAGCATGCAGTTATCCTTTAGTTGCAGAGACGAGATTGGAATTTTGAAAAACACATCAACCTTCATCACTTGCTTTGGTTTGATGCGTTTGATCGTAGGTTCTTTCCTTGTATTCTTTTTATTCAAGTTAATTTATGGACTGATAATCAATATTTTGAAAGTTTGATTAGTTTTTAGATGATCAATTCTGATTATTTTTTAGTCAATTATTATTGATTAACATTTTAAGATAAAGCAATTCTATGTACATTCCCACTTATTTTATGTTTTCTTGATTCTTGATATTTCTACAACTTCTATGAAATTTTATCCTTTTTTTTATATATTAATTCATATAATATTAAAGATTCACGGACTTACTCCCAGTGCCCAAAGATTCACGGACTTACGCCAGGGAAAACATTTCCATGCAAACCAAATTGGTTCAGAACTAACAACAACTAGCTAATTCCCCAATAATCTATGAAATTTAATTAATTGTAAATTCAATCAATTAAAAAAAACATCACACAAGTCAGTCCATCCTCTCCGTTCTGCATTTGGGTTCAAAGTTCAATCAACGTGGACTAAGCTTATACCAGTGACCTATAGTCATCTAATTCTTAAAGCATAGAGAAAAAAATCGGAGAACTGCAAGATTAACAAGCGATTAGGTGACCGGAAAGAGGAAGGCACAAATTAACTTTACCTAATCGAAATCCAGGAGGATCTGATCCACAATCCTCCATTGATGATGACTTGATCAGAAAACCGATGCGAGCTTCAGAGTATAGAGAGAAGATGAATGTGAATGAAAAATGAGAACCGAGAATGTTTGGTGTGAATATGATGGATTAGATTTGAATATTGCGGATTTTTACAACTCAATTAATTAATTTAAGACTTGAGAGGGCTCGTCAAGTCAAGTAAAGTGGTGGGACATGTCAAGAGCCAATTATATGCTGACATGTGTCATATGTAATAAGAGTCTGAGGCACCTCAAGTAGCAACATGACTTGTTGACGCGTGGCCCAAATAGAGAACCGTCCGGTTCTCCACTTTCAGTTTCTTCCGGTTCACTGCTTTTTTCCGGTTTTATTATATTTTTCATATTTACATGGTCCTACCTAACCTAATTCCTTGAATTGTATTTTGGACTGAAGTAATTATTTCCACTATCAAAATGACTACGTCAAAGTACTAGAAAAGGTAAAATCTAAAGATTTCGTCATTTAAGGTTCAAATTCTCATTTTATTTTTATTTAAAATATTTTTTTATATTATCCAAACACGTTAATCCACTAATAAAAATTAACAAACAGATTAAAATAAATAATAAATTGAGGGCATGACAAAATCCAATGTGATGATTACTCAACGTTTCTTTTCCTCGGAGTCAGTCATTACCGCCACGTAAAGGTCCACGTTCGCTTTTGCATACAGATTTGTACTTGTCTGACAATTTTAACCTCCCAGTTGAAGTCTAACGGACACCTTTACCATGCTCTGCTCTAGGAGTGTCTCCGAGTTAACCGCTTCTTTTATCACTAAACAAATAATCACTCTTCCAGTTTCCGTGTATCACAGCTTTGATTATCGGAAAGATGAGTCAGTTGCTGGTGAGGTCGGTTATGAGGCGGTTAGTTTCTGGCGGTACCTGTAACCGTTGCATATCGTCTGTGTCTGCGGCGGCGGCGGTAGTGTTCAGAGAAGTTCATAAGCCGAGTAGTGAGTCAGTTGTGATGATGAGTAGCCAGAGGCTGAGATTCTCTGGTCAGTGGTGGAGGATGATGTGCTTCACTAGTGAACCACCATCGAAGAATTCAACGACGTCCTCTGCGGTGAGGAAGGAGGACGAGAAATTGAGTGGTGATTCTGTGGAGAAAATGGAAGGGGAAGACAAAGTAGCTCTTTCCAGCTATTGGGGAGTCTCCAGGCCAAAAATTACGAAAGAAGATGGCTCCGTGTGGCCTTGGAACTGCTTCATGGTATGTGAATTATTTTATCAGTATGGGTACACACATAGCAGGCAATAATTCGGAGGTTCTTCTAGATAGAGCTTTAATTTCCTGGTAGTAAAGCTGGATGACTACTGCTTTCTTTCTGCCTGCTTTTCATGTCGTTTACTCTGTTTCAATTACTGGTCTATGTCTTGGTGGAATGCATCACTGGTCTGCCTGCTTTTCATGTCTGTTTACTCTGTTTCAATTACTGGTTTATGTCTTGGTGGAATGCATCACTGGTTGGTGACACACTGACACTACATAGTCGATATGGACATTGTTAAATTAGGTCTTAGGCCTAACTCACACCCCAAAAGCTAGCTCAAAGGGAGGAGGATTGCCCAAGCCTTATAAGGAGTCCACCCATCTCATTAACCACCGATGTGGGACTTTTGTCATTCTTTAACATACATCGAACACCCGCACAGCCAAGACTAGACATTTGGAGTATGGACAATATAACTTGGGGCCTAACATCGGTAAACTAAGAGTTGTGACTTGTGTGACTCTTGATACCAGGATAAAAATGGAACCTTCAGTCTACCTCAATCCCAAAACCTAGCAGCTAAATTTGTGGGCTTCTGATATTATTTACTCTTTGAGGGTTGGAGTAAGATAATCTTATTAAGATTTCAATGTTGGGTGACGTTTCAGTAGTAGTACATCACTGTTGTAGCTGGAGCTGTTTCATTCTTCTTTTGTCTATTCTGATCTTTAAATGGAGATTATTTAGGGAATCTTGCACATGTTAATTGAAACTTTCTCGTGATCTTTTTCTTTTTTTCTTTGTCCCTGGTTTAAGAGGTCTGTTTTTTACTTGCTCAAAAAGAAAAAGGAAGTATTTTTTTATTATTAATTTATATATATTTTCTGTTACCGCTTGTAGCCATGGGAGACATATCAGGCTGACTTGTCGATCGATCTAAGCAAGCACCATGTGCCCAAGACATTCCTTGATAAGGTTGCTTATTGGACGGTGAAACTTCTCAGGATTCCAACTGATTTATTTTTTAAGGTTTGCTTTCCACTCACCTTTGCAGAGAATATGTTGTCCAATCAAATTTAAATGGCTATTTTGTATTACTTCTTTAGAAACCATGCTCTCCCATGTCTTCTTGGTCTCGATTTCGCCATGAGGTTCATACTACTCGACAGCTTATACCCGCAATTTTTTTGGTGAATAGAAATGCTAAGAAATGGATTCTGTTTCTGCTAGTTCTTCGGTTTCTTCAGAAATGTAACCAAAGTGATCAACGTATGTGATGACATCTTTTACATCATCCTTCCCTAGTGGTACATCTTTTAGCGAGAGGAAACACGTGCCAAAATCACAACAGTTATTGCTCCATGGACTACCTAAGAGTAATGGAAATATGTGTAAACAGAAAAACTTCTCTGCCGTGGACACAGGGCCAACTTAACAAGATTGGAGGCCTAAAGCAAAACTTAAGAGAGGGACCCTACTATCTTCTTTTTTTTATCATATATACTTTTATTTAAAATCTATTTTTTCTAGCTTATTTAGATGCGGAGTCATTAGTTACTGTTTTATAATCGATTTGTTTTAATAATTCCTTTTCAATTGATAATATCACTAATTCATTCAATCTCTCTTGAGACATTGTTGATCTTAAACAAGATTCAATCAATTTTATTTTCGAAAAATTTCTTTCGGCTGGAGCAACTGTTACAGGAACTATTAACATTATTCTATAAGTAATATGCGTATTTGGAAAAGAATCAAGTCTTTTTATTTATTTCTCTTTAACACTATCAATATCATAATAAATATTATGTGTTAAAGAAAATTCAAGATTAAGACAAGATTTTTTTTTAAAAAAAATCTCATCATCTAGTGATCTCAATTTACCACTAAATAAGAAACAAAAAAATATTCTCATATGCTTCAATTGGTAAATATAGCTTGATCTAATATGTATATATATATATTAGCTTGAAAAAATAGCTTGATCAAATATATTGTGATTTCGTTATCAATATTTCATCAAATTGTTTCTTACGAAATTCAAGTTCTATATTAATCTCATATGCAATTTTCTTAGTACAAATCATAATACTCATAGTACATATTTTTTTTAAAAAAAAACATTTATAAGTAAGTTCTTTTTAAAAAAATTGGGGGCCCTAAAAAATATGGGACCCCAAGCGATGGCTTTAGTGGCCTAGAGGTTAAGACGGCCCTGCGTGGACACTACAACATTAATCCTTGAGTTGTTTTTATATCAAATACATTCTTGTCACCATTGATTCTAATCTCTGATTTCTATCGCAGAAAAAATATGGTTGTCGTGCAATGATGTTGGAAACAGTGGCAGGTGTACCTGGAATGGTGGGAGGTATGCTGTTACATCTGAGGTCATTGCGCAAGTTCGAGCAAAGTGGTGGTTGGATAAAAGCATTACTTGAAGAAGCTGAGAATGAGAGAATGCATCTGATGACTATGGTGGAGCTAGTACAACCTAAATGGTACGAGAGGTTGTTAGTTATTGCTGTGCAGGGAGTCTTTTTCAATTTTTACTTTGTGCTTTACTTGCTGTCCCCCAAGCTTGCACACAGAGTTGTCGGTTATCTGGAAGAGGAGGCTATACACTCTTATACGTTGTATCTTAATGATATTGATCGTGGTGAAATTGAAAATGTTCCTGCTCCTGCAATAGCAATTGACTACTGGAGGCTGCCTAAGGATGCAACTCTAAAGGATGTTATTACTGTCATCCGTGCTGATGAAGCTCATCATAGAGATGTTAACCATTTCGCATCTGTAAGTATCTTCTGTTTTCGTAGATCAATCTTAAACATCATTGCAAATTTCCACATTTTGAGCTGGCAATTTTATCTACGGTTTGCATTGTGTGCAAAAGTTATTAATGCAACTGATTTAGTTATTGCTCATGCTATTCAGGATATCCATTATCAAGGAAAGAAATTGCAGGAGGCAGCTGCTCCTATTGGTTACCATTAAATCTTCATATTGGTCTGCTTTGCATAGTTTTATATATATATATATATATATTGTAGACCATGGTCCAATCAAAACAAGTAGGGTCTCAGTGGGGCATTTCTAATTAGTCATGAAATCCCCAAATAGTAGCATAAGTATGGATTAAACTACTGTTCTATCCTCTGCATAGTTGTATTTATGATAAATGCTTTTGCTCTTCAAATTTTGTAATCTTAATAGGAATGCAAATGATTCCTAATCCAAAAAAAATTATTTATTGGATTTCTTTTATGACACGCATGCTGGGAAACCTATATCTCCAGAAATTCACAGAGAAATGGAAGGATCTCCAAAATTCTACGAATGGCACGTTAAGTTCTTCTAAAGCAGAAAGGCAATTAAATCACTCAGGTAACTTGCCTGTACGAGATATATGGTCCAGTGTGCATCTTAAACCATAACGTTCAACTGCCCATTTTGCTTCTCTAAATCCATGACCATATGCCTCGGAATGGTTTTTTTCAATTCCGTCTTTCAGAAACTCTTTCAGATTTCTCAAGAACTGAGCTTTTTCACTTGTACCTTTTATGTTTTCATCACCAGTAAAAGATTGCCATTCTAACCACTTGTGAGCTATAACTTCACAAATACCTTCTGCGATGTTTAGGGACAGCCCCTCATACCCTATATATCATAGAGAAAAAGACAGATTTATTAGGAATGCTGTTCACTAGTTTATTTTCCATTATATTTAGTTTAAATTAGACAAAACCAACTACAGATTATTGTAGAAAGCTGGAAAGCACCTTCAATCTTCATCCAAGCGTGCATCATTTCATGAGCCAAAGTTGCTCCCAAGTCCAACCTGTTTACAAAGACCAGTTATGCATACCATAAAATTTAAGTGGGGAACTTGTTTCAACCTTACATATCCCCTCTTAAAGACTGGAAGCAAATTATCTTTGGAAAAAACATAGCATTTTTCTTAACTTCGATTAGTCAAAACACATCACTGACCAAAAATGATAGAATATAGACATCATCAATCCCAATTTAGGTGACATAGTGGGATGAGTAACATGAAAGAACCTACTACTTAAGGCAAGAACAATAACTGTAAATGGTTGTAATATCCCATATTTTAAACAAGGACATATTAGTCATTAGCTAAAAAAAAAATCAAATGGGCCTTAGCCCATCAGAAACCTAATAAGGGAAAAATTAAATTAAGCTAAAGAAATTATTGGAGTTAGAGTTTTGTCAGCAACTCTTGAAAAAAAAAAAAGGAAGAAAGAGTATGTTCTTGGAGCCTCTTCCTGTGAAGGAGTCATGAAATCGATTAAAATAGAGAAAAATAACTAAATGGAGAAGAAGTGGAACTCTTGCTATTTCAAGTATGGATTTCAAGGTAAGTATCTTAACTTAGTTTAAAGATTGAATTTGTATATTCCCTGACTATAAATTTGAGAACTGAGAGTTTGAAAAACATGGGTTTAGAAGGAATAAAGGAATCCGTTAAACTCTTATTATCTTACGGTTTGAGAGAGTATGTTGAATGTTTTGACCAAACTTTTGTAGTTCGGCATAACCGAAGAAGAATTGCTGGACAGTGACATTAGTTTTGTTTATTATAGGGTGAAGTAATCAACAATGAGACTGTTTTGCGGGATCTGAAGCACCAATTTGATATAAATTGACAGATTGAGAGTCTATCATAAAACCTCGAAAGATTTGGGTATTCTGAATTTAGTATGAATTAGCCTAAACGAAGGAAGTATTACGAGACCGATATGATGTGATTATAGATTGATTGAAGGAAGTCATACAGATTGCCCAAGTGACAGATTTGGTACTTCAACACGAGTATTGTGAGTAGTAATTTTACCACAATTGATGTTTTATAACTTGCATGACTTTCACATGGTTTATAAAGTAAATGTGTTATCGAATGTTTATAAAGATTATTTGAGATGATCTCATTCTTATAAGATATGATTATTGATATTGAAAAGGTTTTACACTTATTTGAGAAATAGTATTTTGACAGGTGATTGTTAAACTTTGAAATGATATGATTTGATAAGATTTAAATGCTCTGTTCGATTTTGAATTGTTTTTACTGATTACAAGAAAAATATAAATGGGAGTAGACCTTGATGAATCTCGTAGCTAACGGCGGGTTCGTTAGACCTGGTGCACCTTGTAGTTATCGATTACTGATAAAGTCCTTGCTAGTGGGAAGGTAGAACTAGTATATTATTAGGTATTTACATTGATTTTGCTTATATGAGACACCTAAGATTGAATATTGTTATTGTTTCTGAAAGAGCATTGTTTCATCATTATGACTATTACACTAGCATGTTTTCTGACTTGTCCCTCATTAAAATGGTTGTGGTTAAGTATTATTACTCACTGAGCTAGCGTCTCACTCCTCGCTAATTGTTTTTACTAGAGAATTCAGGTGGTATTGAAGAGGATTTCATTAACTAGCGTGTGAGTTGGTAGCATCTGGTGAGCCCCGCATTGCTTCGCGTGGCAAGAGAACTATTGATTTGCTATGTTTATTTAGTTTCTTTTAAAAACTCTTAGAGTCCCTCCATTTGTCATTCCTTTGATTTGAGTCAAGATTAGTCCTTTGAATTGTAGTCAAGTGACTAGTTTTGGAACTTTTTTCCGTAATTTTGGAGATTGAATTGGTTTTATTGCGTGACAATTTGATCATTGATGGATATTATATGGTGGTTTATAGTTGCTATTAGTTGTGTTGTGAATTTCTGAAACAGGAAAAATCCAGGATAGGCCTAAAAACCAAGGAAACTCTGCCCGATTTTCTGTAGAATTTTGGTGAGGCTTGCTTTGGGATTCTCCCCCTTAGTGCTGGTCATGATCCTTAATTGGGTCGTGACAATGGTTGTTAATAGTGCAGATTTTCTGATAGATTCTTTGAATCCCGAAATATGTTGTGTTTAATGCAAAATGAGAGACGCTTCTACTATTCTAAATCAGTTGCACTTCTTCAGCTGGTCATACTATCTATTCTAGGATATGTTCATCAGAAGTGGCATCTTGTGATTGTTTATTACTTGAAATATGAAAATGCAGATTCTTTTTATATTTTAAGTATATAGTTTGTAGATAAACCTATTGGGTATGCCTCATTGCATATAACAAAGCTCAAGACTTGTTCAAAACTGAAATTGCTTATTTGCTGATCCTAACTAGATGAAGATCATGAGATATATTTCCTATTTACTCTCCTAGAAATTACTGGATGACAATTGCTTGGAGTTATATACTAGATCCATCAAGGAGACTACTTATGTGAAAGTATTGAAGTTCATAAGAAGATTACTTTGGTAAGCCGTACAAAAGCAGCATTGCTTTCACTTTGCGTCCTTCAACCAGATGCTCTACTTCTTTCACCACTTTAACTTTTTCACCCTTCTGTATTGACCTTGACACCTAGCATGAGTGAATTGAATGCAACATGAGAGACTAGATGACTGCATACCATAGGCAAGAGAAGTCTATAATAGAAACCAATGTACTCACATAAGTTACGGCTTCCAATTCAGATTTATCATAGACAGTCAAGCCAAGTGATGTCTGTGAAACCAACCAAGCACTATTAATACTACAAAATGTGATGGAAGTAATAAAATTCCACTTGCTAATGTAAACACCTGTTCTGCATACCTTTTGAACATTTTTTATCATCTCTTTTTCATCAACTAACAGAATTGGAATGTAATATCGGATTTTCATGTCCATTCCTTTGAAAAATCTGTGTACTTCATCAAGAAGGGGCTTACAGACTCCAGGATCTGTCACTGCTGTATAATGACAATCAGGGCAAAGTTTCCGACCATCATTCAGAGTGATATACTTCAGGTCTCCTATCTACAAATAGGTGAGTAAGTTCTCAGTTAGCATATGTTATAAGCTGAGTAATTGTATGCCATCTGTTATCATTGAACGTAAAGCCAGTGTCTCAGCCAGAAAGCTCATTGTGTATATGTTTGCTATTCAGGAATATTCATCATACAATTGCTAGTGGTTGATTTATTTAAGAAGATTATCTTACATTTTCATTTTTAATAATTTTCTCATACTTATTGAATGGTTCCTGTTTAGCTCATTATCGACCTTCATTTTTTAGAGCATAGATTCAATCAGGACCATCTTCAATCTAACATTATAGAAGGGGTTTAAAAACCTTTAATCTTGAACAGCTGCAGCACTGAGGAGTTCCATCAGATGTATGCTTTTCACAGTAAGTTTGGCCCCAGTATGTACACCTTGACCAATCCGAGCGAATCTGTACCAAACATAAGTATCAGGTAAACTCATTCAGTTATTTTCTGATCATCTTCACAGTTACAACTTACAAGGATAAATTATTTCAAGAAAGACTAAAGGGAAGGACATTGGAGGAAAGGGAACCTCTTCTTCACAAACATCACAAACAAGAATATTGCACCGCTTTCTACTCTTTCTCCAGAAAGAAGTGCTCCTACAAAATCATAAAAACGTGTCTAAAGAAAAATATTTTATTCATAAACTGAATATATCTTTGATGCTCTCCAGTCTCCACAGTTCTTCACAATTTCCCACAATTGAAAAATAGCTAGCAACACTTCTGTTATATTAGAATGAAACCTGCTTTAACTTAAAACAGGACCATAATCCTAACTCGACATGAATTAAGTAAACTTGCAAATACCAAATCCTAATCAATTTTCCTTCCTGAATTAGTATTCCGATGGTGTCAGTATGATCAAATGGAAAGCAGAAAAAGTCATGGCAAAAGATACTGCAGAATGATAAGAACTTCTCAAGGATTTAGTTCTTAGAAGAATTATCAAGAGAGCAAACAGAAGCATGACTTAAATTTTGTTTACTTTGCATGTATAGCTAAAGACAATTTATTCATTGCTTATCTAGAAGCACTTGAATTGTGTTACACTTACCTTGATGCATGGACAAATGGATTTAACTCCTTGAAAAGTTTCCACCATTTCAGCTCTCTGCCTCCAGTACTGGTGCTGTAATGATGTGAACAAATCTGATCTTAAACTTAATCAGCCCCCGACAAAAAGGGAGATGAATAGGACAATTACATTACATATGTGTGATATGCTAGATGAAAATATTCATTTCCATATATATATTTTTCACTGAGTAAATCCCTGGGAGCCAGTGGTGAACAGTTCAAAACTCAGTGGATAATGGTTTTTATTTTCCCCTATAAGCACCAGGGAATGAGAGGGCATATTAACCTCAAGTCTGTAGAAGATAATGTGGTTTCTTCCAGCGCTTGTGCAAGTTCTTCTACTTCATCAATCTGGGGATACTCTGTATCTGAGATATTAAAAAAAGTGACCAAATGTATACATCAGACTACTTGCCTAAAGAAAGTAAGAAAATTCTGTTAAGCATTTAATTCTGCCAAAATAACAAAGTGAAGCTCCAAACTCATGAAATTAAACTTATTGGAGCTAAACATATCTACCAACTTCTTACTAGGACGAAATTTAGCTTAAAATAGTGAGATGAAAAGGCTGCATCAGATAAATGAAAATACTATTGATCTTCTCGATTAAAAAAAAAAATGCTGCCTCATTAAGGACTCTTACCGCCTGGGTATATTTCTTCTGCCTTTGATTCTTGAAGAGAGAATTCAATAGCACGGACCATATCCTCATTTTCATCTTCTGATAAGTGGTAGCTCTGTAATCAAGTTTTTTCAAATGGATTTAACTGATAATAATCATATCAAATGATGATGATGATGATAATAATAATAATAACAACGAAAGAGATTGATAGAAGTGTGAAACACAAAACCATACCTCATAAGAAGGACCTTCATCCAGGTATCTATTTGAATACATTTTCGAGGTCAATGAATCCTCTGAGTTCAAACAAATATATCAATGCTACTGCAAAGCATGAAAATGCATTAATATTAATAAGAAATATCCATTGGTGGAGGAGAATATGTCAAATTTATTGAACTTTTAAAACATGGTTTTCCTGGAAATATATAAAATTTAAAAAATGGAGTATTCGGTTGGTTGTACTGACCAGGAAGAAAAAAACAAATATTCTGCTGGTTGCATATAAAGAAGTTGCAACTCAACTGATAAAGTGGTAGTTTCGTGCCCTGTTTCTTGTCCTTAGAAATGGTATAATATACCCAAATAATTAATAATTTATGAAGACTTTGACAATGTCGTTGAGTCTTCATGAAAGTTTTTTTTTTCGAAAAGCTTTTACGAAATTAGTTAAGAAAGTGCTATTTCATATTTCTGATTTTATATTCCTCATTAATAGAAAAAAGATCACACTTTTAAAAACTTCTTCAATAAAATATTGTAGTGGCCTGCATGGACATGAGTTTTTTTTTTCTTAAGAAATATTTTCAAAATGTTATTCGGCTTTTGTTATAATGATTTTTTGATTGGTTTTTGCAGATGGGTTTTTTTAATTTGAAAAATGGTTTTATCAAGTGAAATTTTATCCCATTCACAAAGTATCTAACTTTTTTCTCAAGTGATATACATAATACAAGCACAAACACAATTTCAACTTTCAAATATTATCGAATTCATGTCTACTTATTAAAATCTTAATGAAAGAGCATAGAAACATGACATAAAGTATTTAGCTTCGAAATTATTAGGACTAGTGGCAGACCTATGCTATGTATTATGGGTGCTTAAGCACCCATTGCCTTTTGTGACAAACATTATTATCTATGTACAAAATTTAGTAATTTATTAAAATATATTATCTGACCACCCATTCTATGTAGCAATTTCCGAACTAAAAATAATTAAGCACCTATGATACAAAAAAAAATTGGATCTACCACTGACCAGGACTATACTTATTTGTGCAAGAAAACTAACTAATACATTCTTATTCTTTTTTACCTTACTAACATTGTACCAATGCTGGTGTTTGGTTATACCATTTGAGATGATATTTCACTTGTTTAGTTTGTATAATTCTTATTAATTAATTTTTGCTATCCATTTACCGTCAAATTTGTTTTTTCTTGAAGTAACTTAAGGAAAAATCACCCCATATACACATTTAAGAGTAAATATTACGGGTTTTAAACCTACTTTTAAAAATTTCTTTCTTATAACAGATTATTTACGGGCTATGACATATCAGTTAAATTTTATTTTATTTTAAAATTAAATTATATTTATTTAATAAATTATTAATCTATTTATAGTTTTTTATTATTAATTAATAATAGATAATTAATTTGATTTTACTTCCTTTTTTAAAAAAACTAAAATTTTCAGTTACCCAATTTTAGAGATTTTCTTTCCTTGTTTACCGTTACCATCATGGATCACACCACCATCCCACACGTTAATAGAATTCTACAAATAATCCAAGTTTTTGTCGAATAGCTTGTAGAGCTAAAAAGTCAATGTGATGTTGAAGAATCTAATGGAGAAATTGTGAAGGAATTTCCAGAAAGTAAAGGTCCCGTTAGTAGAAAAATGTGAGTTTGAGAAAAACTACAGCCAACAAATGGGAAAAAAAGCCTCGATTTTTGGGTTGGCTGACCAATAAATAAATTGATAATGACAACATGACTAATGGAAAGACAAAAAAAAAAGAGCCCTCCTCACTAATATAATGATAATGACAACTTAACAGTAGATAAAAGAAAATTAAACAAAGATAAAAATAAAAAATAAAAACTTTTGGTGTTTAGTTAGTAAATATAAAATATGCTTATGTAAAAATATATATTAAAAATTGGTAATAATGTTAGCAAATCAAAGATTGTTATGATTATTTTTTTTAAGTGAAGATTAAAAGTAATATCCAAATATTATTCGAGCAAGTAATGTGATATTAAAAGTCAAGAAAGTTGTAAGAAAAATAAGTCACTATCCCTATGTACTATTTGTGTTACCCATGTAATTTCAGGGCCTCAATTTGGAGTCACAAAAGTAAATTACAAAAAATTACAAGTTTTTCACAGAAATGTTTGTCCAAGAACCATCAATTTCATCCCAATGATGAATGAATTAACACAAAAATTAATAATGTCACCCGGAGAAGTAAGTCATTTAGGAGAATCTTAGTAGCTTAATTGGTTGACTACCTGAACTCTCACCTTGTTGGTGAGGGTTCGATAGTCATTCAGGTAATTTGCCCTTACGAGCTTATATGCTTTTGAGTGTGAACCTTAAACCATAACGTTCAACTGCCCATTTTGCTGAATTAAGTCATTCAGGTAACTTGCCCTTACGAGCTATATGCTTGAGTGTGTATATTAAACCATAACGTTCAACTGCCCATTTTGCTTCTCTAAATCCATGACCATATGCCTCAGAATATCTTCTCTCTATTCCATCTTTCATAAATTCTTTCAAATTTCTCAAGAACTGAGCTTTTTCACTTGTACCCTTCATGTAGTCATCGCCTGTGAAAGATTGCCATTCTAGCCACTTGTGAGCCATAACCTGAGAAAGACCTTCTGCAATGTTTAGGGCCAGTCCTCTATAGCCTATAAATATGAGAGGAAATGTTTTAGTTGGATTAGAGTGATATACACTGACACTCTAGATTATTATTTTTACTTATCTATTGTTGTAGGTCAACTTAATCTGATGGTGTTTAAAATCTCTATACATTGTTAGCTAGTGAAGTGTATAAAGTTCAAATTCATTTTACTTTGAACAAGAAAAAAGCAACATGCATCAATAGTAAAAAGCTGGAAACTACCTTGAACGCGCATCCAAGCATGCATCAGTTCATGAGCCAAAGTTGATCCGATGGCCAACCTGTTTACAGAGAGCATTGATGCATACATAAACTGTAAGTGGGGAACTTGTTACACATTCTTTTAAAACTGGAATGCAAATTAAAGAGAATTCTCAACTTCCATCTAAGTCAAGAAAATCAGACCACTAATGGTAGAATATGGATAGCACGCAACATCTGCAACCCCCACTCGTCACCATTCAATATTTCCTTAATGTCTCAATTTAGGTGACTCATGGGAAGAGTAACCAATCCTTGGGGAAAAACAATAGCTGGAAACGGTGGTTAGTTATGCAGATTTTTCTCTGTGAATCAGGAAATATTCAGTCTTTAATGCTAAATGATTAAGATTTCTACTTCTAGATCAGTTTATCTTCTTCATGGTGATACTAAGTATTCTATAACTAGATAAATAGAATGAGATATATTTTCCAATTTACTTCATAAAAATTACTAAATGAAAATTGTTTGGAGTTCTATAACGAAATCCATCAGAAGAACAACTTATGTGAAAGTATAGAAGTTTAGAAGAAGCTTACTTTGGAAAGCCGTATAAAAGCAGCACTGCTCTCACTTTGCGTCCTGGAGGCAGTTGTTCTACTTCTTTCACCACTTCAACATTTTCACCCCTTTGTATTGATTTAGAAACCTAGCGTAAGTGAATTTAATGCAAAATGAGAGAGTAGATCATTGTGTACGGAGGCGGATGCAATATATAATAATCTGAACTCATTAAGCTTAAATTTTTTATCCACCAGACTGGGAACCATAAAAATGTATAAATTGGTACATTATATTGCAGAAGATATCAACCCATCTAACAGAAATCTATAATAGAAACAGATATACTCACATAATTTACCGCGTCCAGTTCAAATTTCTCATAAATCGTCGAGCCAAGTATGCTCTATGAAATCAACGAAAAGCTATCACTACAACAAATATGAAAGTAAAAATAAATTCACCTTGCCAATGTTGGCATATGTTCTACACACCTTTTTATGGATTCTGATTATCTCTTCTTGGTCAACTAGCAGAATTGGAATGTAATATCTGATTTTCATGTTTAATCCTTTGAAAAATCTGTGAACTTCGTCAAGAAGGGGCTTACAGTCTTCAGGATCCATCACTGCTGTATAACGACAATCAGGGCAAAGTTGTCGACCATCACTCAGAGTGATATACTTCACGTCTCCTATCTGCAAACAGGTGAGTAAGTTCTCAGTTATCATGTTATAAGTTGAGCAACTGTAAGAAATTTAAAGGATTAACTTGACATCTATTATTGAGAGGTCACTAGTCAGTATTCAGCCCAGTTTTTGAAACATGCTAGGGGCTATACTGAACTAATTACTTAATATCACCTCATTTCCTGTCTGTTGATCCATTACTTCATTTTATTACTGACCATAGATTCAATCAGGAACAGCTGCAACCGAATAATATATATATATATATATAAGGTGTTTACAAACCTTAAATCTAGAACAGGCACAGCAGCAGGGAGTTCCATCTGATATATGCTTTTTACAGACAGTCTGGCCCCAGTAGGTACACCTTAACCACTCCGAGCTAATCTGTACCAAGATTTATGATGTTAAAAGGTAATAATCAAACATAATAGAAGCATCAGTTAACTCATTCAGATATTTTGTAATCAGCTTCACAGTTTACAAGGATAAACTAAGGACTGATTACAAAGTGCAAAAAGGGAAACAGATTTGAGAAAAAGGAACACATACTTGTTCCTCGCATACATCACAAACAAGAGTATTGCACCGCTTGCTACTCTTTCTCCACCAAGAAGTGCCCCTACAAAATCACAAAAAGCATACCAATGCCAATTAGATTAAATGGAATGCAAGAAGAAAGTAGCAAGCTAAAAGATACTTCAGAATGACATAATGACATTGAAACCTGGAAAGAAAAAGATAGTAATAGAGTGAATTAATCATTAACTGCTTTTACTTTCTCATACTACTGCTTGCTAGTATTTCTAAAATTGAAAAACAACCTTCTCAAGGATTTAGTTATTAGGAGAATTAGTTTTGATATGTAGAGAATTAGCTTTATCAACAAATAGAAGTGTGATTTTGTTCTCTTCACATAGATAATTAAGACCTAATTATAAATACTTCCGTACTAACGTACACTTGAATTGTGTTGCACTTACTTTGATGTATGGACAGATGGATTAAACTCCTTGAATAGTTTCCACCATTTCAGTTCGCTGCCTTCAGTGCTAGTGCTGTAATGACGTAAAGCTTAAGTAAACAGATATCTGATCTTAAACATAATCAGCTTGCAGACAAAGGGAGGTAAATAAGATGTAAGAAATAGAGTAACTATGCACAAAGATAAATTACTATACGAAGCAGTAATTCTAGTTTTTAACCTTGTTAAAAAAGATGAACTACTGTATAAAACAGTAATTCTTTTTCGATGCATGTGCTCATAGAGGGGACATGATCCTCCAGCAATCTAAAGGAAACTAGACAATATATCATGAACTTGATGGAATATTGCATATTTTCAGCAGGTTGAAGTATCCGTTTTGCTAATAATACTGACTTTGAATCAGCGTTCTTTTCAGTAGACAAACAGTACTGGAAAACGTCTTCCGTAAACTAGGTCAGTTCACTGAAAATATTTCCCGGAAAATGGCTTCCTTCATACCAAAGACAACTTAAAAAAATAAATTTGCAGTGACAGATATACATTCAAATCTTGATCACTACCTTGATTAGACTTAAGGAGTAGCACAGTGGTTGATGAAGAGTAAAATTCATGCAATGGTCTCATTATTTTCTAAATTTTGTCGAAACTATGTCAGATAACCAAGTCTATGTGAAGCCTAACCTTCTCCGAATATGGAAATATTCATTTCTCATTATAACGATAAGTCTAACTAATATGAAGGAATTTTGTAAGGGAATGAGAGTTTTGATACGACAGGCCATATTTACCTCAAATCTGCATAAGATAATGTGCTATCTTCCAGCACTTGTGCAAGTATTTCTACTTCATCATTCTGGTGAAACTCCAAATCTGACAATAAATGACCAAATCTATATATGAGACTACTGGCAAAATAACCCAGTGAAGCTCCAAAATCTTGAAAATTATTGGCTAGAGGTGAAAATACAAACTTCTTGCTAGGACAACATTGAGCTTAAAAAGGTGAGATGAAAAGGCTACATTATTAATGACCCTTGCTGGCTTACTACCTATATATAGGGGTGTTCACGGTTTGGATAAAAACCGATCCAAACCGAAAAATCAAACCAAACCGATAAAATAAAACCGATTTTATTTGGGTTTGGTTTGGTTTGGTTTTAGATTTTTGAAAACCGATAGTATTTGGTTTGGTTATGATTTTATTCCAAAAAAATCGAAGAAATAACCGAACCGAACCGATGAATTATATACATATATTTTATTAATATACATACTTAATATATTGTTTTTATAAACAATTTTAAAGATCTTATACATATTTTCATTAAAATTTCTTTATAATTTACTTATTGAAAGCAAAAATGCCCAAGATGAAACATTTATCTTATTGATTTCATGTAATATGAGTGTCTATGACAATTCTTTGTGGGACTGAAAATGTTATTGTCTCTTCCTTCTAGGCCAATATAGTGAATTTTAAAGCTTTATTGATAGTAAATTTAGTGATTGAAAGTTTAGTAATTTAAGTCATTCTAACTATTTTTCGTTTTGAATGGATTGTT